CTGCCCTTGTGTCTAGCTGTTCTGGTGCGCAATGCTCTATAGCGTTGTTTTGAGGGAAGGAGTGGAAACAGTTTATGTCTGGGATGTGAGGGGTCTCTAAATATTTTCACAGCTCTTTCTGACTGGTGCAGTATACAGTATACATTGATCATCACAATCAACATTATAGTAACTTTTGTCTCTTTTAATTTTTACATTTAAATTTTTTACCCATGTTTTTTTTAATCTTTCTAAGGAGCTCACCAATTTTTTAACAGAAGCTGACAAATATTTGACATAGATTCTTGATGTCTTGTGGAGAGGTGGTAATGTTGTCTAATAATTCTCCAAAAACTGTGATTTCTTTAATATCTAATATTTTCATCATATTATTTGATGCATAGTTTCAGCTGGATACATTTGCATGTAGCCTCTTAATGTTTCCTTTTTTCCTGTTTCCAAGCTGCCTTCTGGATATTTGTTTTTTAATTGGCATAGAAATCTAATGCCAAAACACTGCATTCCACTTATGCCTTGGATACAGGCAGTTAAGGACGTCTGATTTACATACAACTCATATTTACAGATGGACTGCCTATTGTCCTTGATCCAATGGACTGTTAGCCCTGGGATGCTTTCATGAACCTCAGAAGCCATGCATTTTTAATACAGTATAAAGCCTGTTTACAGTGGTTTCAATGGTTCACAACAACATTGGGTGCCTTTATCAGCTGGAGTTAAGGAGAATGCTATAGACAACTCATTCCTATGTATAATGCCCAACTTATGTACAAAGTTAACAAAGTCAAAGGCAGATGGAATTCATTCTTAACCCAGGGACTGCCTTTATTAGTTTATCTTGGCTATAAAAGAAGGAATGGCCTATTGCTAGAAAGTGAAACAAGTAATACATTGCTGACTTTTTTCCCCCTTTCCTCCCATATTTTTATAGCCTATGCTTCATCCCATTCTTTACTGTTGATATATTTGGCAAAAAATAAAGAACTATGTCATGATAATGTCCTAGGAAGTGTCAGTTCTGTTTGAATTTTGCCTAAATTCAGATATTTTAACCAATTAAAATCATCATAGTATTTTTGCAAATTAGCTAGCCCACATCCTCATTTGTTTGTTTGTTTGTTCACCAAATTTATAAAGCTGCCCATCTCACAAATGTAACTCTGGGCAACCTAAAATAACAGTTAAAATATAGTTTAAAACAACTATTAAACATTATTAAACACTATCATAAATAAATATAGAATAAAAATAAAACCGCAGGAGAACAGATCAACATCCAACTTACAAAATAATCATCTTACAGGCTCCCCATTTCTCTGGGATCTCCAAGCCTGCCGAAAAGAACAATTCAGGGATTTCATAAATGCCAGTGGGATCAGGTCTAGGTGCCATGCAGAAAAGGCCCATCTCCTGTGTCCCACCTGATGAAGTTCTTTAGTTTAGCAGATGGGTCCCATAACATGCCCTTCCTGCTAGACCTGATTGGGTGAGTAGATATACCTGGGAAAAGGTAGCCCTTCAGAAAACCTGATCCCATGCCATGAAGGGATTTAAAGATCAAAACTAGCGTCTTGAATTGAACCCAGAAAGCAACAGGCAACTGATGCAGTTTGTGGAACAGAGGCACGGGTGATTGTTGAGGTAATTCCCCGTTAGGAGAATGAGCACATACAGGGAGACGTATTTGAGAGTAGTATTTGAATAATACACACACAATACACAGATACACTGTACAGTAAATGTAGGTTTTTACTTCCAGAAAGTTTAAGCAAAGTTCAAAATAGGCAGTCCAAAGTCATTCACAGGTAAGATCAGTCAGTTTTTAGTCCAGGGATAATCCAATAACAAAGTCCAGTGTCAAAAACAGTTCAGTATCAGACTTACATCAAATCCAAGAATAACAGTCAATTAGAAGGAACGACAATACCCTCCAACAGAAGGAAGAACAGAGACTGAGACATACTCTCTTCTGAGACTAAGACAACCCAGGTTTCTGGCTCCATCTTATGGCTGTTTGAGAAACCACATCCAATTACAATTTTTGGATTCTCTTAAAGATACAGTTTTAAAATGTTTATCCTGGTTTATATATTGTCCAACCCAAATAGCTGTTAGGTGACTTACATTCCTAACAGTGATATTCAGCAGTTCTGGAGAACCGGTAGCGGACATTTTGAGTAGTTCGGAGAACCGGCAAATACCACCTCTGACTGGAGATTTTACAGTATCTTTCCCCTGCCACACCCACCAAGCCACGCCCACAGAACCGGTAGTAAAAAAATTTGAATCCCACTGCGAAACAGAGGTGTAATGTGTGTTGTTCTAGGAGCATGTATAACTGTCTGTAGTACCACATTTTGCACCAGTGAAAGCTTCTGAATGTTTTTCTTTATTTCTCTTCTTTGTACTTGTATACCATTAATATTCAACATAACTTGCCATTGTTATAATTATTTATCTTAGTAGCTCTATATGGGATAGGAATAAGGCAGGTAATAATAATAATAATAATAATAATAATAATAATAATAATAATAATA